CCAAGAATCGACAAAAACAAACCAACCAACCAACCCTTTGGAACAAATAAGTGAGTTTAGCAAGGTCACAGATATCAGGTTGACATATAAAGGTCAACTGTATTTCTAAAGTAGCAATAAACAATTGGGAACTGAAAGAAAAAAAACTCAAGTACCATTAACAATAACTCCAAAACATAAAATACTTGGATATAAATGTAACAAAATACATGCTGGTTAGATATAAAAATGCAGGTGAAATAAATCAGAAGACCTAAATAAATGAACAAAAATACTGCTTAAGGCATGGGGACTCAATGCAGTTTCCCCAAACCTGGCCCTTACGAACTTAGCCAATCTGGCACCTTCCTGAGCCACAGTGGCCAAGGAAAAGAAGTTCAGGGAAGGGCTGGGGTTGCAGCTCAGCAGTAGAGTGCTTGCTTAGCATGTGTGAGGCACTGGGTTCGAGTCTCAGCACTGTATATAAATAAGTAAAATCAAGGTCCATTTACAACTAAAAAATATTAAAAACAAAAAAATAAAGAAGAAGTTCAGGGAGAACTCTTTGCTGGGGGAGTGCATGGTGAGTAAATGTACCAGTTTCTCTTTAAAAGTTTCCTTGGGGCTGGGGATGTGGCTCAAGCGGTAGCCTGCTTGCCAGGCATGCACAGGGAGATGGGTTCGATCCTCAACACCACATAAAAAATAAAATAAAGATGTTGTCTCCACCAAAAACTAAAAAATAAATATTAAAAAATTCTCTCTCTCTTAAAAAAAAGTTTCCTTCAACTCCCACTCACAGGGAACCACTGCTAGGAGGCAGTCTGCCTGTACAACCAGGGCTCAAGGCAAAGACCCCAGGTCCCGAGGTCCCGTCTGGGTTCAGGTCCTGGCTCCAAATTTATTGGCTGAGGGACTCAAGCAGTTCCTCCTCCAGCAGTTCCTCCTCCTCCTCCTCCTCCTCCTCCTCCTCCTCCTCCTCCTCCCTCCCTCCCTCCCTCCCGGGTCTCTTTCTTTTGGTACTGGGGATTGAACCCAAGGGTGCTTAACCACTGAGTCACATCCCCAGCCCTTTTTAATTTTTGTTTTGAAGCAGGGTCTCACTAAGTTGCTTAGGGGCTGGCTAGGTTGCTGAGACCCATCTCCAACTTGCCATCCTCCTGCCTCAGCCTCCCCAGGGTCCGGGGTTACAGGCCTGCGCCACTGTGCCCAGCCTTCGTTTCATTTCTGCCCTTTCTGAGCCTTCATTTTCTGGTGTGTAAAAGAAGGATTAATTTGATATTGCACATGAAGTACTCACCATGTGAAAAAAGCCCAAATAGAAGTTATCTTTATTTATAAAGTTCTTGCCACATACAAGACGTTCGTAGTTATTTTTACTATTGCAAAAATAAGCAAAGACCACCAAATGTGGACCAGCCAAGTCTGTTTGTTCAGAGTCGGCTGTGGCGGGGGAGTGGCCACTCTCACTGGGGCTTGGCAGCGACTCAAAGGCAGGCCTGGGGGAGAAGCTCCGCAGTGAGGGGGCCGGCTCCCACCCTGAAGGGGGCGGGCTAGCGGGAAGCGGGGACCTCGCCTGATTGGTTGGGGAGCCGGTTTGGCTCTCTCGTTGGTCCTACACTGGGGGCAAGAATGCGGGAAGCTGGCAGTTCCTGGTCACGTCCTGGTTGTCTGGTGCTGGCCGCCGCAGGGCTCTGGTTCGGCTTGGCGGACTGGTCGCTGCAGGCCGAGCAGTTCTGTTGTCCTGTGCGGTGCTGCCTTTGTCCTTGCCCCTCTTACAGCCCACACAGCCCCGGGCTTGCCTTGCACGCGGGTCCTCCCCTTCTGCCGGGGGCGTGGTGCTGAGGCGCTCCAGGGGTGTCCCCAGGCCGCTCCCCCGCACTGGGCCGGCCTTTCTCCGCACCGGGCTCAGCGTCCCCGCCCGCGTCCCCGCCCGCCACTGCAGATCGCGCGGACCGCGGGCACCTGAGGCGGGCGCAGCTCGGGGGGCGTGGCCACGCGTCGCCGCGGCCGCTGCGGCCACCCGGTGCCCGGCGGCGAGCTACTGCTGCTCTCGGGGCTCAGCCCCTCGTCCTCTGAGAGCTGCTCTCCGTTTCGCAGGACCTTGGAGTCCCGTTGGGGTTCAGTCGTGGCTGCGCGGGTTGAGGGCGGTGTCCTGCTGACTCTCAAATCCCGCGCACCGACCCATCGGGCCCTCCGCACGGTGGGGCAGGACGGGTAGTGAGGCGACCAGGGCTGGCGCGGCGAGGAATCTCCAGGAGGCCTGGGCATCTGGGCACCCAGGGGGTCCCCTACCTAGCGCAGAGCGTGGGGCGGCAGGAGGAGGAGGGCGGGGCGGAGCCGGTCACCTGCAGGGTCCCGCGGGACTGCATCCCCAGGGGTTCAGGGCCGGCGCCACGCTTACCAAAGTCCTCCACCTGGACCGCAGCCCGGGAGCCCTCTCGGCCCAAGGCAGCGGGGGCGGAACCTGCCTCCCGCAGAGGACCTCGAATGAGACAAGCCAGCGGGTGACAGGAGGCTCCCCACCTCTCCCTGCCTGGCCTCGGGTATGGGGATGGACAGGGACGGTTCTCAGAGGTGTCCAAAGGGGTTAAATGTGCCTTCACGCCCCAAAGTTGATTCCCGTTTCCGTTCTTTGCCACCCCCCTGGTTGGGTCCAGCAGGACTACCTCCTGACCTTCCAGTGTCCCGTTCTTCAAAACAAAGGGAAAGAGGCTGGGGGTGGAGCCCAGTGGCAGAGCCGAGCTTAGGTGTGGAGGCCCTGGCTTCATCCCCAGAACTGCAAGACCAAAGAACAGCTGCCCCCCGGAGCCCTTGGCAGGCGGGGGCTCCCACATGTCCAGTCCTGTTCCCACAGGCTGAGGTGGGGTTTTTATTTTTAAATTGGTTTTGGTCTCCTTCTATTGGTGGTGGGGGATATTGGTTCTCCCGGCTTCGGCAGATTGTTATCATCAACATTCTAGGGAAGGTTTTTATTTAGAAGTCAGTTGACTGGAAGAAAGCCACGGGATTAAGGATAGTACTAGTGGCCTGAAGAGATGAGGGAAGTCAGCTAGGCAGGTGAAGGACAGAAATTTTCAGAGCGTGGCTCTGAGATGAGGCCGCCGCGCTCTGCTGGGCCAGGTGCTCACGACCTTGTTACCATATCTTGCTCCTGAGCTTTTCCATAGCTTTGAACCCAGGCCTAGAGAATCTGGGAAACCCCTAGTGTATATCCATCTGCATGCTCTGAGATCAGCCCAGTAGCCCCATTTTATAGGTTAGGAAACTGAGGCACCGTGAGCTAGCTAACTGCTCCAGGGTCACCCACACAGTAGGTGGCAGAGCCAGGGAGACCTGGCTTTGACTTGTGCCATGAGCTCCCACCAGCGCTAGGCTTTAGGCTGCCTGGCTCAGCAGTGCGATGTCAACATCGCTGTGTTTCGCTCCCAGGTGCCTTTCCAAAGCACATCTCAGAGCAGAGATGCAGGCCTCTCTCCAGGCCCTCACCTGCCTGTGGCTGGCTGCCTCGGAGCCGCAGAGGGCGGCAGGTGGCTGTGGGAAGGCTCCTGCTCTGTGGGGACTGGGGCAGAGACCCTCAAAGATGCAGGGAAGCTGGTAACACAGAGTGTGGCCGTCATTGTCCCTCCAGGGCAGAGTTAGGGAGTGCTGGCCACGGGGTGGGAGATGAGCACAGCCAGGCTCCCCAGCATGGGGGCTCCTGGAGAATGCGCCCACTCCCCCTGCAGAATGGCGGTGGGGGAGAGGCTGCTTCCCTCCCTCCCAGCACTGCCAGCCTGGGCTCTTCTCCCTGGCACTGAGGGTCTCCATGCCTCACACCACCCGGGATGCAGAGGACGGAGAGCAGAGTCACAGGGGGAGAAAGGGATGCCATACACAGGGACAAGGTCCAGAGGGCTCCTGGTGACCACAGAGAAAGCACAGAGGTGCCAGAGTCCCCCTGAGGTGAAAAGTCCTGTCCCCAGCTCCTGAGATGCTCGGAGGCCTTGCTGCCCCTGGACTCCAGGTCCAGACTTGGTATGTGGGCAGCAGGAGGCCCCCGGCAGACCGCCAGAAGGAGAGGGGCCAGGCCAGGGCAAGGAGCTGCTGGGTCAGGGGCTCCAGGCCACCGCAGGTCATCCCATGCATGGTGGGATCCACCTGGCTTGGGCCTGGCTGGCTGGACCCTCAGAGCCTGGCTGTGTCCAGCCCCTTGAGAGGAGCCTGTTTTCTGCCCTGAACATTCTAGAGGTAGCAGGAGGCCAGGGTGTGGGACCCTTCCTCACCCTGAGAGGAGAATCGTCAAGTAAGCCCTGCTTTTGTTCTCCTGGGGACCTTGTGAGACTGAAACTCAAATCCCCCACCTCCAGGAGCCCCTCCCATTCCATGTCCCTGGGGGTGGCTCTGAAGAGGGACCGTGGCCTGTGTCCCCAGTCCCCATCCCAAGGCCACGCTTCCAGAAGGGCCCAACAGTCCCCCAGCCCATTCCCTTTATCCACCAGGCCCTCCCTGCCCACAAGTTGTCCCTGGTCCTGGCTAGTGGCCTTGGGGGCTGAGGACCTGTGATGTGTTGAAAAGAAATCAGCTTATGGATGAGTGAGACTCTCTGATAAAATGTGAGATATCTAGAGTGTCAGGCAACTTCCTGCAGGCACTGGGGACACTGTAGCCCTGTCAGTGTCACCCAGACAGGGTGTGACAAGCCCAGGGCCCCAGGCACCAACCTGATGTACCTCTCAGGAGCCAAGCAGACAGCAAGGCCCTGGCCCAGGGAGGTGGTGCTGGTGCAGGGCTGGAGGCTTCTTCCACGGGGTGGTGCCCAGGCCTGGCTGGCGGCTGCCCACCTTCAGGTCCCAGGGCCCCTCATTCCGGCACTTATGATACCCCCGAATCCTGGATCCTCAGCACCACGCCTTGCCAGACTTGTCAGATGCGCACATGCGGAGGAATCTTACCGCAGTTCGCTCATTGTGCTTCGCAGACACAGCGTTTTTGTTTTTTTTTTCTTACAAATTGAAGCTTTGTGGCAATTCCGCGTCAAGCCGATCTGCGAGCGCCATTTTTCCAACAGCTCAGATGACCATTAGCATTTTTTAGCAATTCAGTGTTTTTTAATTAAGGTCTGCACATTTTTAGAGACATGATGCTATTGCACACTTAAGAGACCACAGCCGAGGAGAAACACGGCTTCCACATCGAGACTCCCGCTATTACCATCGTTCTCTTTATTGTAGGCCTGGAAAGGAGCCGTCGGGTCCCCGAGGTCTGCCTGTGTGTCAGTTGCTGTCCTAAGCGCTTTCCTTAAGTCTTCGTCTTCTAAACAACCTACGATAGAGAAACCACCCTCCTACGTTTTAGGTGGAATGACATGAAGTACAGAGAAACACGTGCCTGGTGACGGTGACCAGGGTCTAGCCGGACAGCCTAGCTCCACAGTTGCCATTCTGAGCCCCATGCTGTGCTGCCGCTCTGTGGTTGACTGTTCTCTGGTCTGTTCCCACTAGACCGTGCTTTGTGAGGTCAGGTCCTCGATAAAGGCTGCCGACTGAGATCATGAATGGGTGGATGAAAGAAGGCCAACGTGGGGACTGGGGCGTGGCTCAGTGGCAGAGCGCTTGCCTAGCATGTGTGAGGCAGTGGGTTGGATCCTCAGCACCAGGTATCAATTAAAAAAAAAAAAAAGTCCACTGACAACTAAATATATATATAAAAAGAAGGCCAACATCACACTAAAATTGCCAGAGTCATGATGGACACTTAACATACAAACCTGCCTGTGTTCAAGGAGCCCAGACATGTCCCAGGCATGCGTCAACTCTCCACCAGCCCTGCTCGGCCGTGACTGGGACCTTCAATGAAACATCTCCGTCTTCTTCCACCTAAGAGAGGTTTTCTCCTCTTGTTTCTTCTGTCATTCCAATCCCCACGTCTGCTGCCTTCTCTGACTTAGATGTGGAAAACCCTCTATCCAATGTCCACGTCGTGCAGCTCTGGGTCGATGTTTGACAGGCCGGTGGGTGCCCTTTGTCGCTGTGCTGAGAGCCTTCTTTGTCTTGAGCACCCAGGACACTGGATCCACCTCGTTATTCAACCCACAGATTGAAGGCTTCAGATTTTGTCCGTCGTGTTTGCGATTTTAAATGGCAGGAGTCTGTTATTTAAAATCCAGATGCCCTATTGGATTTCCCTGGAAATGTAAACTACGGTTGTTTGACCTTTTCCTTCCGCTTACTGTGTCCCCCCCTGAGCGGTTCTTGTGCTAGTGGAGTGGGGGTCTCTCCTTCACTGCCCTGGAGCTCCTCATGGAGGGGGAGGGTGTTTTCTGGTTGTCCATACATATTTGAAGATGAAGGAGGTGTAGACAAAATGTTCAATTTCTGGAATGTTCCTCAGGCCCAGCGTCATGAGTGGCGGCTCTGGCTGGGAGAGCCCTGGTTAGGGTAATTGAGGGAAGAGGCCTGTGGCCAGGAGGAATCTGTGGGTCTGATTTTCTGAGTAAAAGGCTCCGCTTCCCTGTGGGACCCTTAAAATGCCCAGGGCACTGTCTGAGCCTTTGTTTGATTGTTGCTAAAACAGAATGGCACAGACTGGGTAATTTTTGAAGAAGGGGAACTTATTCCTCACAGTTTGGAGGCCAAGAAGTCCAGTAGCAAGGTGCCAGCTTCTGGCGAGGGCCTCCTGGCTCTCTCGTGACATGGCGGGGACACCCTGTGGGGAGACTGCAGCTCAGGGCCCTCTGCCTCTTCCTATGAAGCTGCTAATGCCCTCAGGGTCCCCACCCTGATGACCTCATCTTACCCTGATTATCTCCCCAAAGCCCCACGTCTCCATGTGAACTTAACACCTAAACTCTGGAGAACACGTCCCACCGTGGCAGGTGCTGCCTGGTTCCCCAGCCCCAGCACCCAGCTGGGAAATTCCACTTAGTGACTCTAGAGCATTACACTGGCCTTGGACCTTGACCTCTGGGCACACACAGCTTAGAGCTAAGCTTGGGGACACAGCTGATCAGCACAAGCCCCTTCCAGGAGTCACCCCTGTGCCTGTGGCCTGCACACCCCCCCCCAGCCTCTCCCTGGGCTCCCTTCTCCCAGGAAAGGCCGTGGCTTTTGAGCTCACTTTCCCCCTCTTTCATGGGGCGTGGGCCTTCGGGTCTGTGGCTTTCGCTGTCCCTGTGACCTCAGGTCTTTGCGTCCTGTGAAGATTCTTTGCCTGGTTTGCCTTTGCCCGGCTTTCCTTCACTGAGTTGAGTGTCCACGTGAATTCCTCCCTCGGTCCACGTGGATTTGGGGAGGGAGGAGAGAGAAATGAGAACTTGAGCACCAAGCCCACCCCGTGCCCCCTGGGAGACCAGGGAGCGAACCTCAGGAACCCAGCAGCTTCCCACCAGGGTCCCATTGCCTAGGGCTCAGGAAGGGAAGGGGCTGGGGCTGAGTTTACCCAAACAGTCCTCTGCTCATCGTTATGTGGGCCTGGACAGGGACACCCCGCTCCAGGATGTCAGGGCTGACGGCGAGGGCCTGGCTCAGGTGAGGGCCTGGGTCAGGTGGGGCCTGGGTCAGGTGAGGGCCCGGCTCAGGTGAGGGCCCGGCTCAGGTGAGGGCCCGGCTCAGGTGGGGCCTGGCTCAGGTGGGGCCTGGGTCAGATGAGGTCAGGCAGCAGCCCATTTGTCCCTCAGACTTGGGAGTTCGTAATGGGGTCCGTTACATGCAGCCTACACAGTGGATTCCCTGGAACCTCAGCGGTCTCCGGTGCCAAATGAGTCAGCAGTGTTCACCACCATGTGACTGGCTCCCCCAGGTCCTCTTCGGGTTGAGGTAAGGGCTCCTAGACAGCTAGAGCGTCACACAGTACTGGCTATGACATTGGCCAGGGGCCAGGGCGGATGTGGGCCGACCTAGAGACCAAGATGGAAAAATCCTCCCCAACCAGGGAGTTCTCAGGGCCCGGGTCAAGAAAACAGCGTGAGGTGGCCAAGAGGTGGGGACCGTGGTTAACGGGCTTACAGGTTAATCCAACATGTGACCAGGATAAGCTTACTCCAGAGGGGCTGGAGGTCAGCTTCTGCCCCCTCACCAGAGAGAGGCTGTGAAGTCCTGAGATTCTGAATCATCATCGAGGCCCCCAGGAGAGTCGTACCCCATAAAAACCTGCTCTGGAGAGAGTTCCCCTGGGGGATAATTCCTGTAATTCGAATCTTTAAAATGTATGGGTCCCAAAGTCTCCTGGCCATCCCCACTGTCTGCCCAGAGCTGACCTGATACTGGGCCTCCCAAGGCCTTAGTGGAGTCCATCCCAGTGTCGCCCTTCGTCCTGAGAGTCCCCGGGTGCTCAGACCCCCTTCTCCCATGCCTCCTGGCCCAGCCTCAGGACTTTTGCACATGCTCTTCATCTGCCTGGAACACCACCCGCATGTCCCCTCTATCACATCTGTGCCCTCTCAACTCCTCCCTGAGCCCCCAGTAATGCCTCCCGCCTTTGTCCCCTATATGTTGGGTCCAGCTGATGGCGCACCGTCAGAGTGTGTGTGATGACTTCACATCATTGTACCCGCTGGACGAACCTCCTTGCCCATTCACCTTGGGTCCCCCGTGTCCCGCATGGGGCTGGCTCCACGTGTCCGTGGAGGATTCCTTCCCAGCCTCTGGGAGCCGCTCTTGGTAAGTGGGTGGGAACTGGTGAGAAAACAAGTTCAAGAACTAAGTGGAATGGAAGCGTCTGGTCGTGTCCTGGGGCTGCTGGGACAGATGCCCACCCCCACCCGGGGGGCTCACAGCCGCAGACCCCTGGAGGCCCCAAGTCCAAGTTCAAGGAGTGGCGGAGACACGCTCTGTCCCCAGGCTCCAGGAGCTGCCTTTCTGCTTCCCGTTGCCGGTGGATCCCGGGGTTTCTTGGCAGGTGGCTGCGTCTGCCCGACCTCGGGCTCCTGTCACCGTCTCCCTTGTCTCCCTTGCTCCGCTGTGAGTCTCTGATGGGGACACGCATCACTGGATCTTACCAGGAGGACCCAGGATGAGCTCCACTTGAGACCGTTAACTGCAGCTGCAGGGACACTTTTACAAATAAGGTCCCAGTCACAGGGTTTGGGCATGGATCATTTGGGGGCCACCATTCAGCAGGCACCAGGGGTGACCCAGTGCCCTGAACTGTGGGGTCATCCTCTGGTGACCACAGGCAGCATCGAGAGAACTGGTCTCCAGGGTTGGCACCTGGATTTGGTCCTTGTTCTATCACCCGCCCCCACCCCATCCCCAGGGCAGGTGCTTCCCCCTCTCAGCCTCTTCCATCTGCAGCAAGATGGGGGGGGGGGGACACCTCTCAGGACCCTTTTGTCTGCGTCTCCAACCTGGGGTCCCTTGAGTTTATTGGTGCACACAAAGGGGACCCCAGAGGCCGCAGACACCTGGAGGGAGCTGAGTGTCTTGGTCACCGCCCAGTTGTGTCACCTTTCAGATTTAGAGAGCCATTTAACACCTCTGGGCATCAATGTCCCATCAGTGGCTGGCCCACCTCCACGGTTGTCCCGAGCAGGTCCCAGTCATGCTGATGATCAGCCCTGGGCTGGTGTGCGGTTGTAGGGGCCACTATGAACCAGCAGTCACCCCTACAAAGAAGGTTGGGACCCACTGCCTTAGACTGGGGTCCCCAAAGCCTGTGTGAAACAAAGATTTGAAGGCACATAGTTTCTTTTGGAAGTGATCCCAGGAGGCTCTGGGGGGATGGGGGACGGGGAAGGGAAGGGAGCCCCATCGTGGGCAACGGGGGGAGGGGGGCGTGAGGGAGCCGGGGAGTTAATCCACCAGGTCCTCTGTCATTGGTTAGAGGCCTCTCTGGGGGCATTAAGGCCACAACATTTTAGTCGGCTCCAAGTCCCTTGGAGCTTCTGCAGCAGAGGAAGCCCTGGGGTGCCCGCCGCGGGCTGAAGGAGGCCTCAGGGAGAAGGCTGCTGCCCCCCCACCCCAGACGCAAGGGAAATCAACCAGAGTGGGCCAGCGCGGGATGAGCCGCGTGGCTGGCAGGACACCACTGTGGCTGCTCAGAAGTCACCCGTGTGCAGACGCTGCGGCTCTTACATCCGGTCAAAGCTCAGAGGGGCTCACAGCGTGAGCCCACAGAACAAGAGCAAACCCCGTGCAGGAGCCCGGCAGGTGTGCCCGCTCAAGGCCCAGGTGTGGCATCAGACTTCCTAAACAGCAGCTCAGCCCCTCCCCTGCCACCCCTCCTCCCTAGTCCCCAAGGTCCTGAGGCCTTGGTTCTCAGCCTCCTTCCACATCAAGGACCAGGCCAGCTGGACTCCACCACAGTGGACCACATAACAATGGTGCAGGAGGAGAAGGAGGAGAAGCCCTGCCTCACCTCGAATGAGCAGGAGAAGATGCACCAGCTCCTCAAGGCGGGGAGTGCAACTCTGAAATCCAAACCTGATAAGAGCTGGGCCCGTGGGGCAGGCCTGGAATCCCTGAGCTGGGAGGCTGAGGCAGGAGGATGGCGGGTTCAAGGCCAGCCTCCCCAAAGCTGGACCGTAAGCAACTCAGGGAGACCCTGTCTCTAAATAAAGTACAAAATAGGGCTGGGGATGTGGCTCAGTGGTCCAGTGCCCCTGAGGTCAATCCCCGGTACCCTCTGACGCCCCCCAAAAAACTGTTAACAATTTTGCCAAGAAAGGAACAAAGAAAACTGCAGTCCAGTCTTAGATGTGGACATTAATGATGCAAAGATCCATGAAAACCTCTAAACAAAGCATGAAGGACCAGGTTCCGGCCGCACAGCTAGGCCATCCACAGCTGGCCTCGGGGGGTCGGTCCTGGAATGAAAGTCGGCTCCACCAGGAAATCCGTCCAGAAAATCCGTCATATCCATGGGAGGAAAGTCACTCCGGCAACTTTGCAGGTGTGAAAAGGCAGGTGAGAAATTCGACAACTATTGTTGATTAAAGAAAAACAAACCACGAAAGAATTCCCTCATCGCCGGAGGAGGAGGAGGAGGAGAAGGCCCTTCTAATTATGACTCGAGATCCAAAAGCCAAAACGGAAGAAGTTGATAAATTCAATTACAAAAGAATTCTGCATGCCAAAGACGAACAATAACAACAACACGACGTCAAAGACAAATTGGAAACAGACATTTAAAACTTATGTCACAGGCAGAGAACCAACCTCCCCAATCTATAAAGGGCTTGTCACAAGCGAAAAATAGGCAAAGAATGTGAAAAAAAAATGGTTCATAGGAAAAGAACCACAAATGCATCTTAAATATGTTAAAAGATGCCCCACTCTGAAGACAAAGGCAAAAATAAGCTACCCTGAAGCATTTCTTTTTGGCACTGGGGATTGAACCCAGAGGGCTTAACCACTGTGCCACACCCCCAGCTCTTTTAAAAATATTTTATTTAGAGACAGGGTCTCACTAAGTTGCTCAGGGCCTCACTAAATTGCTGAGGCTGGCCCCGAACTGGTGATCCTCCTGCCTCAGCCTCCCAAGCTGCTGGGATTACAGGCATGTGCCACCATGCCCCGCTCTGGGGTATCATGTTTTAACTGTGATACCAGGGAAACCCCTACAAGTGCGGTAACAGTGGTCGTTGGTAGGGAGCAGGGGACAGTATTAAAGGACATGTCCCTGGGGAGCCTTCCAGGGTACGAGCCCCCTTCTGGAACTTTATCCTACAGAGGTACCAGCGTACATCTGAAATGGCGTGAGTGCAGAGTTATCCGTTTGCCCCTCCTTGTACAATAAGCTTTTTAGCACAGTCCAAGTGGCCGCCAATAGGAGACCCATTAAGTAACGCAGCTGTAACATACAGAGGGGGTGCTCTGGGACAGCACCTAGGAGATTGCGTGGGAAGCACATGCAGAGTGGAAAACTCCCTTTTGTGTAAAAAGAAGTAAAATGAGAATACGAATCGACCCTTGGGCATAGTTTTGGAAAGAAACTCTGAAGGGACGCACAGAACTAAAAATGGCCACCTGGGGGTTGGTGTGCCAAGTGGGGACAGTTTGGCTGCTAGAGTGGACAGACTTTTCATTGAACACCTTTTTTTCTATTTTGGTCTGTGTGAATTTACTATCTATTCAGTACTTTGAAAAGCTTAGCCTGTGTTTGAAAATTCATTAAGATTGTTCTGGAAGAATATGCCTGCCAGGTGGCAAGGCCAGGGGCAGTTGGGAAAGGGGTCTTACTCGTCGTTTACACACTTCCGGAGCACCGGGTTGTTGCTGTGTGCGTACGACTTCTTAATCAAAATAACTAATTATAATGATTATGTGAACATATTTCTGAATACTTTTTTTAAAAAGTGTTTACATGGGTCCCTCCGGGGAGTGGGACAGTTGGGGTCAGGGCAGTAGCTCCCTCTCTTCTATAGCTGAGCTTGTGGTTTCTCCTCTGTCCATGCTGGGGCAGGAGAGGGCTGGGCTGGGTGGTGCGGGAAGAAGGCAGGGCCTTGGCCTCTGGTCACTGGGAAAACCCTAGAGCGGTGGCCCTCAGGTGGGGGCAGAGGACTGAAGAGGGAATACCTGAGCTTGCCCTTATGGTGGCCCTTCAGTAGCTCCCCACCAGTGGGCTACAGCCTGCTTTCTAGACATGAAGGAAATCTGACATTTTAGGGCCACTGTTTCTTTGATTTTCTGATGGATCATTGGGCACCTTTACATGGCCCTTGGGAAACGCAGTGGAACTTGAGCCCCAGAGAGCCGCAGTGTGCACCCAGGGAGGAGCCTCCCTGCTGACCAGTGGCCACCCAGGGCTCCCAGGACCCCAGTTGGATCTGAAACATTGTAGCTTCAACTGGGAAAGAAAAAAAGGAAGAACTATCAGTCAATTACAATGGAGCTGGTGCTGGTGGGGATGGCGGGGATGGTGATGGTGACGATGATGGTGATGATTGTGGTGCTGGTGGTGCTGGTGGTCATGGTAGTGATGATGGTGGTGGTGGTGATGGTGATAGTGAGGATGGGGTGATGATGATAGTGGTGATGGTAGTGGTGATGAAGATGTTGGTGATAGAGATGGTGGTGGTGATGATGGTGATGATTGTGGTGATGGTAATGGTGGTGATGATGGTGGTGATGAAGATGGTGGTGATAGTGATGGTGGTAGTGATGGTAAGATGGGGATGGTGTTGATGATGATAGTGATGGTGATGGTGATGGTAATGGTGGTGATGATGGTGATGATGATGGTGGTGATGAAGATGGTAATGATGGTGAGGATGATGATGGTGATGTGGGCCATCATGACTAATTTTTTTCTCTTTTTGTACCAAGGATTGAACCCAGGGGCTCTTAACAACTGAATCACATCCCCAGCCCTTTTTTTTTTAAATATTTTGAGACAGGGCCTCACTGGGTTGCCTACAGTCTCACTAAATTGCTGAGGTTGGCTTCAAACCTGTGATCCTCCTGCCTCAGCCTCCTGGGCCTCTGGAATTACAGGTGTGTGCCACCCCACCTGGCTCATAACTAATATTTACTGTGAGTCTCATTCATTTTCTTTTTAATCTTACTAGGTGAAGCAGAGGCCTCCATCTTAGAGACAAGGACCCTAGAGTCTAGAGAAGGGAAGTGAACTGCCTAAGGTCCTTTGGCAGCCGGCCTGGGTTTTGGTTTATTTGAAGGAGTCCTTAGCCAGGAAGTCAACCCCAGTGGCAATTCTGGTTCTGAGTAACAAGGGCTTACTTTACCCAAATTAATCTAATGAGACACCTGGGGGGCTTAGTGACTGTAATCTGAAGCTACCCACCTTCTTCCCCAAGCCTGCTTCTCCCCCAAGAGGTGTACCCCTAGGGGATGGGCCCCACAGGCAGGATGAGCCCGTTCTTACAAATGTTGCAGTTCCAGGTGGGACCACCAGGTGGCGGAGCAGCTGCACCAAGCCCTGCCCCCAGCAGTCCCAGGGACAAAAAAAAAAAAAATTAAAAATTAAAAATTCCTTGGCCTGGAAGGGGAAAGTCAGTTGGAGATTCCGGGAGCCTTCTGGCAAATCCGGGAGGATTGACCTTCTGCTGTAAGCAAAGCCTAGGGTGTCCGTGACTGGCAAAGGGCAGGAAAGAAGAAAAAAATGCTAAAAGCATATGGAAGAGCAAGGAGAAAGGGAAATGGATTCCTGACTCCAGCAGCCCCCGGGCCAGAGATTCTGGAAGTGAGACCCACCTCTCAGGCCGCTCAATCCCTGGGGCTTATTTTTAAATGGAACTGGGCCCAGCCTCACCCGTGCATGTTTGGCTGTGGTTCTGGATACGAGCTCAGGTGTGCAAACCCCGGCACAGCCACCCTCCATTGCAGGAAGTCGGAAGGCAGAGAGGCGTCCCCAGGTTGCGTCCAGGGTCCAGGCTTCTCCAGCGAGGACAGAGTTTGCCCCACGCAGGGCTGAAGTACAGGTGTTTGCACGGGAGGCCTGGCCTTTGGATGGCCGAGGCGGTGGCTAGGCCCAATTAGCTCCGCTCCTGCCACCTCCTGTGCTTTCGTTTGACTTGGTTCCCTCTCCCTTTGCTATTTTAAAATTCAGAATGAGATCCAGCCCAGAGAGGCAGAGTAAGGAAGGAACCTGGCTTTGAAATTCAGGCCTAGGATCCGGACGCCCTGGCTTCCTGGCTGGCCGCCATCTTGGCCGAGTTCCCCAGGCCCTCTGGGGAGGTTCTCAGAAGTCCAGGGCCTAGACACCCACCCACACTTTCAGCACTCCTCAGACCTCTCCGGAACTGACTCAGCTGCCTTCCTCTCACACCCTGGGAGGTGACGGGGGGGCGGGTGCTGGCCCTAATTTTGACCCAAATCCTGTATTCCAACTCACGGCTGGGATTTGTCCTTTGACAGGCTGGAGGGCACCCAGGGGCTGTCCAGGGGCATCAGAGAGAGTTTGGGCTTTGGAGAATGTTTTGAATTTGGACTCTGCTAGGTGACACTGGGCCAGTTGCCTGTCTTTTCTGGGACTCAGTTTCCTTACTTGAGGGACTTAGCACCATTTCTCTCCTGAGCCATCATAAAGAGTGACTGAGGACCGTAGGCAGGAGCACACAGCCTGCTTGGGCTGTCACTAAGAGGCACAGCCCAGGTGGGGCGATGGTGTAGGGCTAGCTTCACCCTCCTAGAAGCTAGCTTTGGACAACAGGTCACTTCCTCCCCGTGTGCCTGCTCAGCTCTGGCCCACAGGGGGCTGCCAAGAGATGCCAGGAAATGGTAGGTATGGTCCCCACCAGGGGGGACCTGCAGTCTAACTGCAGCAATCTGGAACCTCAGAATAGAAGCTTCCCCAAATAGCCCGTCTGTGAGCTGGTCTCCCGGTGCCACCTGGTAGGAGGTGCACACGGAGAGGAAGAGGGCCAGGCCGGAGCCCTCCCGCCAGCTGGGCGGCCAACCCTGTGCCCAGTGCCTCCTCCCCAGTGCAGGAGGCCCGGGCTTCCTGGGCTCACGGTTGGCTTCAGCACCTGAACTGATGTGGGGATGGGTTCAGGTCAGGTCAGTGATTTCCCGACTGGGAGGCCCCACCGAGAAGGTCGGGAAGGGTCAGGACGAGAGAATGAGCTCATCCGACCAGCGGGCACGCTGCACCCCTCTCCTCACACCGGAGCCTGGAGCCCACGCTGAGGTTAAACTTTAACCAACCCTGTGAGGCAGCAGTCTGGAGAGATTCCCTCACAACTGTAATTCAGTAACACCACAGCTGTGCGTCTTTTTAAAGAAATTATTATTATTAATCCACTTGACTTTTCCCTCTTGGTGCCTGAGAACCCGGAGGGCGGCTCAGCCCTCCCGGAGCCCGACTTGTTGGGCGGCTGGAGCAGACGTTCCAGGTGGCTGGGGAACTGTGGACATCTCTGCTGATGTCCCCTCTGTGGAGTGTTGAGACAACCGAGAGGTCACTGCTGGAGACAGGATAAGGAGGAATTCCCTCAAAGCCATTCCAGGACCTCTCCGGACTGGCTCAGCTAGTTACAGGACTACTGTCCCTCCCCGGCCTAGTCAGGGCGAGGGACCTGGATCTTGCATATGCAACTGGTCCCAAGCAGCAGGTCAGGCCCTTACCTGCCCACTGACCACCAAGGTCGGCTCTGCCATGGCATTTGAACAGCTCCTGGAGGGGACCGGGGGCATGGGCCTCTTCCAGGCCCTGCAGGTCTTGACCCTGCTGCTCCCGGCCATCTGGATGCCTTCCCAGCTGCTCATGGAGAACTTCTCCGCTGCCGTCCCGGACCACCGCTGCTGGGCCCGTGCCCTGGACAATGGCTCCGAGACCCCCACAAACCTCTCCCTTGAAGCCCTCCTGGCTGTCTCCATCCCACGGGGCCCCAACCAGCAGCCACACCAGTGTCTCCGCTTCCGCCAGCCACAGTGGCAGCTCCTGGACCCCAACGCCACGGCCACCAACTGGAGCGAGGCCGCCACAGAGCCGTGTGTGGACGGCTGGGTCTATGACCGCAGCAGCTTCACCTCCACCATTGTGACCAAGGTAAGGGACTCCCCACATCAGCCTGCTCGGCTCGCCTCCCGTGACAGCCACCCACCCATAGCTGAGGACCCAGTGGCCTGTGTCGCTGATGATACAGGACGTGCTACTCTTTCATGTTAAAGAGTTACTCGGTGATATTTGTTAAAGTGCCCGAAGGAAGACTTTACCCAGGACATTGTGATAGGGTCAGAGATTGGGCTCAGTCCAAATATAAATGGGCGATGTGTAGGCGAGGAACTGGGGGGACCAGTGGCTGAGGGGGGTTGTGGCTAAACCGACCTTGCAGGATTCCTGCCAAGTCAGGCCAGGCCGTCAGACGGCACTGGAGGGGGCGGAGGAGGCTGAAGAGCCGCCAGATACTCAGAGTGGGATGTCCTTGCTAAACTCACTTGGCGGGTTCTTTGCTAAAATCAGATAGTACAGGAAGTTCCCAGGTGGGCCTAGGAGAAGGTTCAGGAAAATGACCAAGGTTTGGCCAAGCGAAGAATTTTTATCACTCCATCCGTATTTCCTGGCCGCCTGTGGTGACCCCCGTCTGGACCTGGGCTGGGTCACTGGTGGATGAGGAGGCCCCTGGGGGTGTCCCGTCGGCATTTCAACCAGGAACATGGGCAGAGCAGACCCTCCCGCTGCAGCTTTTAGGTGGCAGTCACTGTTCCCATGATTGTCTCTGGTCCCAACCTCCCCTCGGTCGTGGGGGGAGGGTCCTATGATGGCCTCTACCTGGCAAGCAAAGCTGTGAGGACCGTGCCGCTGTGCAGCTGGGTGACCCTGGAGCATTGAGGTCACTGCCAGCAGACCCGTCTCCCACGCCATGGCCTGCCACCAGGAGCTAGGGACCCATGGTGGGTGGCTGACAGTTGCCTCCTCCTCTTCTTCCAGTGGGACCTGGTGTGCAGCTCCCGGGGCCTGAAGCCCATGGGCCAGTCCGTCTACATGGCTGGGATCCTGGTGGGCTTCTTCTTCTGGGGCCTCCTTTCCCACCGGTGAGTCTCTCCTCCCCTCTGGCCTCCCTCAAAACAGAATCACAGAGGCCAAAGGCACAGAGGTACCAGATGAGAGTCCCTCTTCCCTAGGAGATGGAGCCCCTAGATCTGCCCTGTGTCCTGAGCTGCAGGGACAGAGACTCCCGAGAACCTGACATCTGAGCCTCCGTGCTGTAGCCTGGACGGTGGGACTCGACCCTCGGCCGCGGCACCCAGCTGCCCTGAGCAGCTACTGTGAGCCAGGGGCTGTGCGCCCTGCCCCCGGGAGCCAACGGCCTCCTGAGAGAAACAGGCTCCTCGTTTTCTGAACTCCGGGCTCATGACGTGCAGTGGAACAGAAATATGGGCAGGGGCCATGGGGACAGGACAGGGTGGACTCAGATGGGGGGTGGAGGGATTTCCAGAGGAAGTGGCATGGAGCACAGGCCCGCAGGGCAGACTGACAGAGAGGAAGAAGCCAGAGGGCATCAGTTGTGTCCAGGGCTGCATTGCCCAGTGGTCAGGGCCATGTCCTGTGTCACACAGGCCTGCAGAGGTGGACAAAGGCCAGAGCCGGGGGACCTGCAGGCCTGGTTGGGCTGCTCTCCTGCCTCTGAAGTGACCAGATCCTGCCCCTCACACCCCCCAATGGCATTGTCTTGCATGTCCTGAGATGGGGTGTCCCCTCAGCCCTCCTCCCTCAGGCAACACGGGGACAGTTCTGGGCCCACATGCTCCTGGCTCCTGTGAGTGGGAGGCCAGCTCTGCATGGGGGTCCCTGTCCCTCACAGCTGCTCGTCACCCCCGCCCCTCCAGGTCTCCTCCTGCTGCCTCCTCAGTGCCTCCGCTGCCTGGCCGTCCCTTCCAACCCAGAGGCTGCTCTAGGTGTCCCTTAGACCTTGGCCAGGCTCCCCGGAGTGAACCCTCTCCCATGTCCCACTGCCCCACCCTCAGGTCAGCCAGCCACAGGCCTGCTGCCCACGGCCGCTCCCCTCCCCCACCGAGCGGCCCTCACCTCCCCACCAGCCTCTCCTCTGCCCCTTGGTCCTCCAGTCCCAAGGCCTCCCCTGGACATGTCACGTGGGCCAAGCACCTGCCAGGCACAGGGACACACTCGGTCTCCAGGAGAAATGGGTGGGGAAGGAGGCGGGGAGGGGAGCACTCAGCTTGTCCAGGACACAGATGAGTAAGTGAGTCACCACGGAAAGGTACCGCAGCTACAGAGCAGGCAGGAAAGAACCGGCCAGGACAGGGCAGATTTGCAGATGGACTGGAGCCTCCTCTGACCAGTTCACGTTTACGCTCAGACCTGAGGCTGAGAGGAAAGCTCTCTGGATGACCTTCCTTCTCTAAGCTTCCAGAACATCCACACTCCTGGTTTGCCACCCACCTACCAGGGAGCTCAGCCTGTCCCTGCCCATCCATCCCTCCCCAGGTGGACACAAAGCTAGTCCAGCCACTTCCACTGCACCCGCTGGGCCAGGCGCCCACTGCTGACCATACCTAATTGGCCCTGAATCTAGAGGTCTAGGAGGCAGCACAAAAGCTCAGGCACTATCCCCCCCAACACCCCAACCCACCAAGGCGCCGTCCTGTCCCCAAGGAGCCCAGCAGAGTTGTCATTACTGTGCTATATTGTCCTGACCACAGCAGGACCCAGGCAGCCTGCAAGTGGTCCGGGTTCCACACTCAGGGACTCCATCCCAGGACTTGCTGTGTCCTGGGGGCCATCTATACTGGAAGCCAAGCTGGGATTGATCTGTGGGTCTCCTGGTCTGGGCCTGGTGTCCACGCTCCTGGGTGCTGTGCAGACACGCAAGGCCAAGGTCTGCCCCCAGCTCCACCTGCTCAGTGTGCACTGCAATTGCACTGAATGAGTCGCATCTGGGGCTGGGCTGGTCTGGAGGACACGGTGAGCCCGGGCACCAGGATGGGGGTCGGCCTGGTCTCCTGGGACTTCCTGTCCCCGTGGGCAGGTGAGGACCGGGCTGGCTTGCCTAGGGCCATGTGCACTTGGCCTCCTTACTCCTACAGCTCCCTTGCTTGGGTTTTGATTTTCACAACAAACCCATGAGGCATGTCATTATGAACATCCCAGTGTGTGCCCAGGTCACCCAGGAAGGGCAGCGCTGGACTCAAAGCCAGGCGCATCTGACACCAAAGCCCACGTTCTTGACCACGGGCCGCACTGCCCCTGAGGGCACAGCACCTGGTGTATGGAGACCAGTACTCCGTGTGCACTCCCAGCAGCTCCAGAAGCTTCCAGAAGGCTTTGCACCAGTCTCCTTGACCTCGGGGGGCCCTCAAAGGCAAGCGCTTTGCCACGCGTCCTCGTCCTCCAGGCCCTGCTTGCTTGTCTCCCCAACAGGTTCGGGCGGAAGCCGATGCTGAGCTGGTGCTGTCTGCAGGTGGCCGTGGCCAGCACCGGCACCGTCTTCTCCCCGAATTTCTTCATCTACTGCAGCCTCAGGTTCCTGAGCGCTTTCGGGCTAGCGGGCATCATCCTGACGTTGTCAACGCTGAGTGAGTCCCTTGGGGGTGCCCCTGCCCTGGGGTAGGGGGGAGGGCACACCCTCACTTGTGCGTCTGCATCGCCTTCCAGTGGTGGAGTGGACCACGACCCACAAGAGGGCTGTTTCCATGACGATACTGGGATGCACCTTCAGCACGGGCCAGATGGCCCTGGCCGGCCTGGCCTTCGCCCTGCGGGACTGGAGGGACCTCCAGCTGGCCGTGTCCGTGCCCTTCTTTGCCATCTCCCTGATATCCTGGTCAGTGCAGGGTGGGGTGTCCTCCTGAGGGGGACCCGGGGTGGCAGGGAGTCCCTTCCTCCCACTCCACTGCCCTGGCTAGCTGCGGTCCTGACCTGTGGGGAGCCCTAGATGGCGATGACATGAGCTGGGCCCTCCCTGCTCACCAGGCAGTTTCCGGTGACATTTCAAAAAAGACAAATAATGTTTCTACCTTTTTTTTTGAAAATGGGAAGATCTGGGGCCACCGGCTCGGAGTCCCGCCAGAGTCCCAGAGCAGACTTTGCCTTTGGGCTGGGCTGCGGGTGGCGTGACTTCCTTGGCTCACACCAGTCCCCAACACCAGGTCAGTCCTTCCAATCACTTGGCATCAAGTCATGAGGACCGACATTGGCTAGGAAAACACATCCCTGTCACTGTGCTTCTTGGTGCTGCAGAAATCCCTGAGGTCTGGGAACACCTGCTTGTGTGGGGACTGGGGGAGGGGACTCAGAAGAACAAATACAAATTAGTGTCACCGTAAGTTCTCTTGAGCTGGAGCCCGGCAGAGCCAGGCACTGATGAGCCTGCTGTGGGCGGATAGAGGATGACACTCGCCCTCAAATATTTACTGAGCTCCTGCTCCAGGCCAGACATCAGACCAAAACAGACAAAAAGTCACCACTGTCATGGAGTTTGTATTCTGTAAACAGGATTGACAGGAAGGAAGGCGGCCATCCCATAATTGTACAGATTAGGTCACCTTGGTCACGTGGGGCCGGTGCCTACCTGGTGTGGCTCACAACACCAGGGGCGTATCAACACGTCTTCTAATAAGGAAGATGAAGTTATTGGATCGGAACCCTGGCAAGCTGCCTCTTGAAACCACGGTGTCAGACTCCTCCAGAAGTCCTTCTCAGCTACCCTGCACCCGAGCCCCGGTGCACGGGGCAAATCACTAGGGAAATGCTTCTCCCAGCCCATCTGTCCCTGAGGTTGGGGAAGGGCAGTCGCTCAGTTCTGCCTGGGGATGTTTTAAATGAGCCTTAAACAAAAATGAGCTCAGTACCACGTGGCCATTCTATTAGAGAAGTGGCCCCCAAATCACTGGACAGGTGGCCACCTCTGGGGACCTCCCCTGCCCAGGCATCCTGGCCAGACGCACAGCTCAAGTGGGAAGGTTCTCGGCATCTGAGGGTGGCCAGGCATGGGGACCCAATTCTGAGCCTCCTGGCCTGGCACTGGAAGCACCCAAGAGGAAAAACCTGTCTGTCTTTGGTACCATCCAGCTGGAGGCCCGGCCACCCACTGCCCCTCCCCCCATGACCCAGGGAGTCCCAGTGGGGACAGGGACAGTCAAGTCCCAACCAAAGCACCTGCTTCCTCAACAGGTGGCTGCCAGAGTCTGCCCGGTGGCTGATTATCAGGGGCAAACCAGAACAGGCGCTTCAGGAACTCAAGAAGGTGGCCAGGATAAACGGCCACAAGGAGGCCAAAAAGACACTGACCATAGAGGTGAGATGCTGCTGTTTGTGACCCACAGTGTGAAACTTGACCTGGGAAAGGACATCCACTGAGGTGTCCCCCTGTGTTATCAGCACCATCCCACTACCATTTCCCAACGCCTCCACCCACTCCACCAACAGCACAGCCGTCAGCATCTCTACAAACACCGACCTCCACACCATCATATTCCCATCTCCACAGCCATGCAAACACCATTACCACCGTCACCGTCACCACCGTCACCATGAATATCACCACCATCGCCATCATCACCACTGTCACCAGCACCATCACCACCAGCACCATCACCACCACCATCACCATTATCATCATCACTACCATCATCACCACAATCACCATCATCACCACCATCACCACCATCACCACTGTCACCACCATTACAATCACTACATCACCATTGTCACCATCATCACCATCACCATCATCACCACTGTCACCACCACCACCATCACCACCATCACCATCATCACCACCATTACTATCACCATCACCATCACCATCACCACCATCACCATTGTCACCACCATCACCATCACCATCATCACCACTGTCACCACCATTACAATCACTACATCACCATTGTCACCATCACCACCATCACCATCATCACCACCATTACTATCATTGTCGCCATCACCACCATCACCATCACCATCACCATCATCACCACTGTCACCACCATCACCACTGTCACCACTATCACCATCACTACCATCACCATTGTCACCATCACACCAACATCACCATCACCACCACCATCATCATCACCCCCATCACAACCACTGTTACCACCACCACCATCACCTTCACCACCGTCATCACTATCCTCACCATCATCACCCAAAACAAAACACCCTCATTATCACCTGCACCACCCACCGCCAGCCCGAATGTGCTGCACACCTGCCTCCTGGCACTTCTTAGTGTATTTGGGGAACAGGTTGTGCTTATTTAAAGGTAGCTCTTTCCAGAAAGCAGGTGTCAGATGGGGACATGCTGCAGAGACTAGAGGAACCCTGAGCTCTTGGGGGTGGGAGGACCGAGCAGGCTTCCAAGGAGGAAGTCATGGTGGGGCTGAGATGAAGACAGGGTGGGCAGGACCAGAGGCACAGGAGGACAGGGTGGACACTCGGGGAGCACTGAGGAGTGGCTTGGCTACAGCAAGCCTGCCCTGGAGCCAGCCAGGGGACGGAGATGGACAGGGGCCAGAGGCCCCTCCTCCGCTCAGGCAAAGTGGCCTTGGGAAACGTCAGGGGTCCAGAGGGAAAATTCTCTGCCCCATGGCACCCTAGCACTGGGCACACCAGTGTCCAGAAGCCAAGACCATCTGCCCACCCCTCCCCACACCTGGACACCACTCTAGGCGTGAGGCAGGCAGGGCCATTGTCCCAACACCACTGTGTCCTGTTCTCCCTGGAGGTGCTGATGTCCAGCATGGAAGAAGAGATGGCCTCTGCAGAGGACCATGGGTCAGTGCTGGACCTCTTCCGTGTGCCAATGCTCCGCTGGAGGACCTGTGCCATGCTGATGGTGAAGTACGCTGTCCTGGTCCCTTCTCCCAGAGACAGGACCAGGACATGGGCTGGTGTCTCAGGCCTCACAGGAGTGCCCAGGAGGCCAGAGGCCTGGCAGGCAGGGAGGGTGGAAGGGACCCAGAGGCTGGTTTGGGTTTGGCCAGCTGTGGAGCCAGCACTGGTCAGGCTGCAGCCAGGGACCAACCGAGGCTGCTGTGGGCCTTGGAGACTTATCCCAGCAGCTGCACCCCCGGAGGGCGACCGGGCGGGCATCGCCTCTCCCCTCAGGGCACCCCACTCCACGGAGGGGGAAAGTGGAGGCCAGCAGGCTCAGTAACACAGGCATTGGGACCTGTGTTGATGATGGAGCTGGCGCTAGAACCCAAACTGAGCGGCCTCCCCTCACATGGGCTCTGTCACCACCAGGCCCCACTCCAGGGAGGCCCCGCCTGGGGCCCAGGGCCACCTGGGACCTGCAAAAGCCCCTTAAATTCCGTTGAAGTGAGGTCCAACAGCTTATTAAGAATGAAGATCAGGTTTGATTAGAATTTTATTTTGAAATAAGACTGAAAATAGGGAAAAAGTTTATTTTGTGCTGTATATAACTACATACGGGCTATTCCAGCAAATATTCACCACCTCGGACAAAGAATAGGATCGAATGCTTTTTAAACTCTTTTATTTTTAGCCTAATTTTTTCTGATAAATTAGGAGGAGGCCAACATCCAGGGCCACTCCCCACCCCCACCCCCTCCACCCCTGCTCAGAAAACCTTCCAGGCTCCCTCCTTTCCGGCCAGTTTCCTCCGTTATGCAGACAGAGGCTGCGAGCCGAGACCCTCTTGGGTTTCAGCTGATAATCCAGCTGTTACCGAGGAAGATTCCAGATCCCTGAGTGTCCTGGCCACTTTGGGCCCCATTCATGCTGGCCTCAAGTGACACTTACATAGAAACCTTGAGCTCTGCCGGCTTTGGGTCGCAGTAGTCGTGGCCAGAAGGCAGTGCTGAGGGCAGCGGCCATCCTAAGAGGATGGGGACAGATTTTAAAAGGGGCTGGGGTTAATTTCACCTCACCGTGGGGCTGAGTGTAAATCTAAATCCCACCTCCAGAGGGTGGAAACTCAGGTTCTGTGGTTCAGATGCCTGGGGACTCCAGGGCTGGGGCTGCCCCCAGGAGCCCACCGGAGAGGAGGGAGGCAGGCAGGGGTCTCGGGGAGCTTGGGGCTGGGTGGCTCTTCCAGCCTCTGGGGCTCTTGTGGGCCGCGGCCACCAGCTGAGGACAGCACTCCCGAGGGCTGGGAAACGGGCCCTCTGCCCTGAAGGAGCCTTGGCTGCACAGTCCCCTGGGGACCCACCGGGTGAGTGTCCTGTCTTTCAAGACTTCAAGGATGTAGCATCTGGAGACCCGTCCGTGTGACTAGCTTCTAGAAACCAAGCCAGAGGGGCTGGGGGGCACTGAAGGGGCAGCACAGCTGGACCCATGGAGACCCTGAGACTGGCCTTGGGACCAACCAAGACAGCGTCAGGTCATCCAGCTGGTCAGTGGCCAGGGAGCCCCGGAGGTACCGCCCCAGCCCGTTGCCACCCTGCCCGGGTGTGGACTGGAGGCCGTGGCCTCCCTGCCTCTTTCTGGGCAAGCCTGGCCCTGGGAGACACGTCCCGCACTGGACAAGCTTTTCGCGCTCTGGCCGTGGCAAGCTCTGATGGGCAGACCTCGTGGGTGGTGGGAGGTGACTCGGGGGCTGGGGTCCCTCTCCTCTGTGGGCCGGGACCCACCTCTGGCTCTGCCCGCAGCTTCTCCCTGCTGTTCTCCTACTACGGGCTGGTCCTGGACCTGCAGAGCCTGGGCAGGGACATCTTCCTCCTGCAGGCCCTCTTCGGAGCCGTGGACTTCCTGGGCCGGGCCACCACCATCCTCTCGCTCAGGTTCTTTGGCCGCCGCATAACGCTGGCGGGGTCCCAGGCCCTGGCCGGCGTCTCCATCCTGGCCAACATGCTGGTGCCACAAGGTGAGGCCCAGGGACCCACTTCCCTGCCCACCCCACCGCACTGGCCATCTGGCCTCCTCCCCTCCCCCAGCCCCAGAGAGGAGCGTGTTTGTGGCCACAGTCACTGTCCGCCAGCTCTGACGGTCACACATCGCCGCCTTTGTTGCCGTGGCTCAGGAATCCAGTGCCCCCAGCCAGCCCTGCCCCTGAGGTTCAGAGAGGCCAAGCTGGTGCCCAAGGTCACTCAGCTAGCGAGACAGACGGGGGCGGGTAGAGCTGTTGCTCACACTGAGGCGGAGAGAGCACCGAGCACAGTGGGTGTGTGCGTTGTGCGAGCCGTGCGCGTGCGTGTGCGTGTGTGCACATGCATTTCTTCTCTCATTAGACAGCACGTCAGGCGTGTGCAGGGATCTGGGGAGCCCGTCTTCCTTTCTTCTTTCTGAATGAGGCTGTGAAGCCCCAGAACCGGGAGGGAGGCGGAGGATGCCCGCGGCAGCCAGGAGGGTCTGATGGAGGAGGAGGGAGACGGTGTCCCACCCCGCAGGCCCCAGCAGGAGCCCGAGCGCCCAGTGACAGGCTGCACTGAGAACACATCCAAAGACCAAGCCTTTCCGTGGGATCTCACCGACAGTTTAGAAGATTTTCCTATTTTTTTCCTTAGGCGCTGGGGATCAAACCCAGGGCCTCACCCATGCTAGCCACAGAGCCACACCCAGCCCTCGAGGCCCTTCGTGACCAGGGGTGGGAGGGGAAGTCGAGGCCCTTGGCAGAGTGAGCCAGACCGGGACCTTCTTGCCAGGCCTGTGCCACCCGCCCCCTGGTGCCTGCAGACAGGCCAAGGCAGTGAGATGGCTTCTGGGGCCCGGCACACCCAGGACCTACCAGGGGCCTGGTGGCCTCTCCTACACAGCCAGCTGCCCCCAGAGGCCCAGCCCACGGCCAGGTTACCTCATTCTGCACTGTCCCCACCTGGCTCTGGTGGCTGGCCCTGCATCAGCCCTGCCGGGGGCTGGCAGGAGAACGCAGCCCCCTGCTTCCGCCAGCAGCTCTCGGGGTGCCCCTCGTGCAGACCCACTGCCCCCTTCCTCTGCGCAGACCTGCAGACCCTGCGCGTGGCCTTCGCTGTGCTGGGGAAAGGATGCTTTGGGATGAGCCTGACCTGCCTCACCGTCTACAGGACGGAGCTCTTCCCAACCCCGCTGCGGTAGGCTGGGCGTGCCTGGAAGGGCCGTCAGGGTTAGGGCAGGGCGAGAGAGGGACCCCAGGAGGGCCCCGGGAGGGACCCCGGGATCCACAGCCAGGGCCGGGAAGGACCTCCCAGGACAGGCGGACTGGGGCCTCCTGCCTGGGGCTTGCCATCCTCGGGTCCCCTCGGCAGACCGAGGCTGCAGGACCGGCCTCTGGAGCCTGCACCAGCCCACGGTTGACAGTTGGGTAGACTGAGGCTTGGGGTGACAGACTCGCCTGGCAGAGGGCGGGAGCAGCTCGTGGGGCCACTTGTGCTGCGCCCGTTCTCCCGTCTGCCCGTCCTCTCCTGAGCTTGGATGAATATTTACTGAGTTTGTGGCTGTCGTGGGGAAACCTGAACTCAGTGGCCTCCCAGGAGTGCTGAGGTGAGCCCTGGTCACCTAAAGAAATGACAGACCCTGCAGAGTCTCCTAAAGGGCCAGATGGGAAAATCCAGGTGGCCCGTGGAGGAGGCAGCATTTCGGGCAGCCTTGAGGAGCGCCACTCTGCAGCCCTTCCCCGGCACCCCGCTGCTGCAGTGGCAGCCGTGACGTGGCCCTGGGCCCCCTTCCCCACAGGATGACCGCGGATGGCTTCCTGCAGTCGGTAGGCCGCCTGGGAGCTATGGTGGGCCCGCTGGTCAGGATGGCCCACCAGGCGCTGCCCCTGCTGCCCCCGATCTCCTACGGCGCCATCCCCATCGTGTCCAGCCTGCTTCTGTTCTCCCTCCCGGAGACCCAGGGACTGTCCCTCCCCGACACCATCCAGGACCTGGAGAGTCAGTGAGTGCCCGCGGCCACCCGGGGAGGGACTGGATGGAGCCGGGCTGGGGTTCAGCTCCACAGCCACCCTGCGGGGACGATGACAGGCTGCTCCCGCTGATGGGCAGAAAGGCAGGTGGGAGGGATGAAGTGACGGAGCCCAGGGTCCTGGCCCGGCTGCAGCTGCACCTTAGGCAGGAAAGGCGATGGCTAGGGACAGGCCCAGCCGCCAGCCAGCCTGGGGCGAGCGCCCAAGCAGCTTCCGGAACCTCTCACCAAAACCCACCCGAGAAGGCCCACAGCGTCTTCCCTGGTCCTGGTCCCCTGTTCCCACCAAGGCCAGGCCAGAGGGACGCACTGTGAGTGCTTTCCACACCCCTGCCCCACCCTGCAGGAGCAGATCCTGCCACCTGCATACCTTCCTCCCGAGAATAGAAGGAGGGGAACATTCCCCGACTCAGTCTTGTAGCCAGACCCCCCCCAGGGCCTGCCGAGAAGCCAAGTGGAGGTGCCGCAGCTCACCCCACGGAAGCAGGGCCTTGATTCATTCTTTGACTTACTTCGCGATGGCCCTTGCCTATTGTTTGAGCACTGTCCTGGGTTGGGGGACACAGCACAGGAAAAGCCCTAAAGTCGCAGGCTCCCCTTCCCTAACCCGGCCCCAGCTCCGCCCTCCGGGCTGCTTCACCCCCACTCTCCTCTCTATTCTAGGGCATCAGCTGTGGCCAGGGGCGACCAGCAAGAAGTGGTCACTCTAGAAAGCACCTGGCTCTAGAAATCTGCCGTGTGGAGCCCTTTGGTAAAAAAACTTTGGGGGACAGAGTTGCCTCTTCTCCCATCCGAGGGTGGAAGCCAGGTGGTCTCGCCCAGCCTGGCTGCCTCGGTCAGCTCCATGAACGCCGCGGGTCCTCTCCCTTCCCTGCCACGCCCACACTTCACACACCTCCTCAGCCACCCCGACTGGAGACGGGCTTCCACCCTCACCCCCACCACTTACAGAGCCCTCATCTGTGAAGGGGAAATGATTTTGGGGCCTCCCTCCCAGCATGGGCCGGAGCTGGCTAAATGAGCCTGCTAGAGGAGGTGCCAGGGACAGGTGCGCAGGTCGCGTCCTGCACCAGCACCCAGCCAAGAGGCAGGTGGGGTCTGAAATCCAGCCCAGCCACCCTGGACCAGCCGCCTGCCACACAGGGGCTGTGCCACTCTGAATAAGGAACTGTTTACCCATCCATCGGGGATCACAGGGGTGGCCAAACACGGGTCAGTTGGATTGACAGCACTTTATTAGTCACGCACCTTCACAGTCCAGGGAAGACGACTCCATACGGCACACAGAGGTCCTGCACCAAGGACAGCCGGGACTGTGGGAGGCCGGCATTGTTGTGCGGAGAGGGTGGGCTGCTCCTGGTTCCTATAAGTGGGTGTGATTGGCCTGTTTGCTGGTGGGCAGGGAACGGAACCCCCACTGGGGTAGAGGTGACAGGAACAGTACTCGGTCCCCGCATAAGGAGGGACCTCTCTCACATGCGACGCACACAGACCAATCAGTCTTACCTCCTCGCACTCCAAATCCATCTACTTCTCCTTCTCTGTGGCGACCACCTTGATCCATGCCTCCATCGCCTCTGGTCCCGACTGGTCCCTGACATCCGCACCGTCCTCATACGTAGCCTCAATGCTTATTTAGAAACACAGTTCAAACCCCCTCTCTGCTTAAAACCCTCCAGTGACTCAGAATGCAGGTCACTTGTCCCCCCCACACACAACAGGTCTCTCCTTGGGCAGCCCCTGAAGGTCCCCAACATGATCTCACACACAGTATAATTTAAAGACTTTAAATCAGATGAAAGATGTTTTGGGACCAGAAAGTCTCTTCAAACTATGTAACACAATTCTAAATAATCCATGAGTCAAAGAAGAAAGCACAAGTTTTAAGAAACTAGAAAAAGAAAAAAAAAAGTTGATTCAACCTAAATTAAGCAGAATAAACAAAATAACAAATAGGAGAAATCAGAGAAATAGAAAAATAATAAAGTCAATGAAACCTAAAGTTGGCTCTTTGAGAAAATCAATAAAATGTTTAAACTTCTAGCTATGCTCATCAGGAAAGAGATAGAAAAGATGTCTACTACCAACAAAAGGGAAAGCAAATCCTACAGACTTTACAATGATAATCACAGACTATTATTACCCTATATACATGTGTAATTGCACCACTGGTGGGACTCTGCACCGAGTTCAGCCAGAGGAAGAAGTTGAGCTCCATTTGTATACAATGTGTCAAAATGCATTCTACTGTGATGAACAACTAATTACAATGAATTTATTTTATTTTATTTTTATTTTTTATTTTTTGGTATTGGGGATTGAACTCAGGGCCTTTTGCATGCAAGTTGATTTAAAAAAACAAAGAGAGACTATTATGGGAAATATTCTACCAATAGATTCAACCACTTAAGTGAAACTCACAGATTTCTTGAAAGACTCACCCCCAAACTCACTCCAGAGGAATATGTAACCTTGTTACCCCTGAATCTATTAAAGAAATTACATTTATGATTAAAACCTTCTCATGGAAAAAAACTCCCATCCTGGATGTTTTTCCTAGTGAATTCTGTCAAACATTTCAGCAAAAAATAATAGTCACTTGGGGGCTGGGTTGTAGCTCAGTGGCAGGGTGCTTGCCTAGCACATGTGAGACACTGGGTTTCATTCTCAGCATCACATAAAAATAAATAAAATAAAATAAAGGCATGGTGTCCATCTACAACTATAAGAACATTTTTAAAAAATAATAATAGTAACTCGACACAAATTCTTCCAGAAAATTGAAAAAGAGGTAACGCTTCCCAACTCATCCCATTAGCCTTGTATCACCCTAATGCTAAACCAGAAAAAGACAAGAAAACTGCGAACCAATATCGTCCATGGACACAGACACAGTCATCCTCTCCCCCCCCCCCCCCGTCTTTCTTTCTTTTTCCAGTTCTGGGATGAAAGGACCTCGCTGGTGCAAGGCAAGCACTCTACCCCAGAGCCTCGCCTCCAGCCCAAGACACACAATGTCTTGACAGTGAGCAAGTTGGCTCCAATAATATACTGCAAAAAGGACATTATGGCTACGTGGACTTTACTCAGGAATGCAAAGTGGGTTTGACGTTTGAAAATCAAGGTTAACAAATTAAATTCTAACAAACTTTTTAGGTTCAATAGATGCAGTAATAATATTTGACAAAATTCAAAATCCATTCCTGATACACAACACTCAGCAAATAGGCATGAGAGGGAACTTCCTCACCCTTAGAAAGGACATCTGTGGCCCTAAGGAAGGCACTCTGCTGCCCTAGAGGTAGCACCACTTTTTTTTTTTTTTTGTAGTACTGGGCATTGAACCCAGGGCTTCCTATGTGCCAGGCAAGTGCTCTGCCACTGAGCCACATCCCAGTGTCCACCTTTTCTGGGGGACAGTGTCTCACTAAGTTGCACAGGCTGGCCTTGAACTTGCCATCCTCCTGTCTCAGCCTCACAAGTAGCTGGAATTCCAGGCACAGGCCACCATACCCAGCTGGTAACCTCATATTTCTTTCCATAAGACTGAATGTGCGATCAGGAACGAGGCTAGGGAGTCCCCACCTCACCACCTCAGCTCAACACTGGCCTAGTGAAAGCAGCAAGGCAAGAAATGGAAATAAAAGGCATACAAATCCGACAGGAGACAAAACTGTCCTTATTTGCAGGTGACATAGTTGTCTAGCCGGACTAAAAATCTCAGTGTGATCAAAATGTCGATTCTCCAAAATTTATAGATAGAAAGAAATCCCAACGAAATTGACAGCAGACTATTTTGTTTCTATTGACAGGCACATTCTAACATTTATATGTAAATGCAAAGAATCTGGATTAGCCCAAAATAATTAAAAAGAAAGAAAGGGCTGTGGACAAACCTCAGTGATGGAGCTCACCTAGCGAGGGTGAGGCCCTGGGTCGGATCCCCAGCACCAGAAAGGTTTATTCATGTGACAGAGAGAGACCAGAAGCAGAGTCATGCACATATGGTGAACTGACTTTCCAATTGTGTCCAAATCAATTAAATGAGGAAAGGATAATCTTTTCAACAAATGATTCTCAAACACTGGGTGGCCACATAGGTAAAGGGGGGAGGGAGGGGGGACTCGGCGCTAATTCACACCATAGCAAAAAATTAACCCTATCATAGACTTAAGTGTAAATATTAAAATTATAAAAATTTTTAGAAGAAAACTGGAGAAAATCTTAGCAACCTTGGGTTTGGCCAACATTCTTAAATACAACACAAAAAACATGAGAGGAAAAAATGATCCATGGAACTCCCTAAAAAGTAGAAACTCTGCTTTTCGAAAGACATTGTTTCAAAAATAAAATGGCAGGCCACAAGCTGGGGGACACATCCGAACACTCTGTGACAAAGGACTTCCCTTCAAGAAGCTGGAGGAACACTTCCAATTCAACAACAAAACCATCCCATTTTTATAACATGCAAAAGTCCCGGGCAGATGCCTCCCAAAGAGGATGTATGGGCGCCCGCCAATAGGCACAGGAAAAGACGCGACATCGCTAGGAAAATGCAAATCCAACCACAGCCAACACCGGCTCGCACCCACCCAGCTGGTGAAAAATGGAAAGACCGAGTATTGGAGAAAACATGGAACAACTGTGGCCCCGTGAAGTAGAATGGCCACTTGGATAAAAAGAGAGGCCATTTCTTAAAGGTTTAACCTCCAGGGCTGTGGCTGGGTGGAAGGGGGCTCGCCTCGCCTGCGTGAGGCCCTGGTTCCATTCCCAGCACACAAGAAAAATAAGATTTAACATTCACCAGCAGAGGACCCGGTCATTCCCATTCCCGAATATTTACGAGGATAAACTGAGCTTGGCCCAAGCAACAATTTGTATTGAATGTTCATAGCAACTTTATTTGCAATGACTGAGACCTGGAAGCAACAGGTATCCATCAACAGGTGACTAGAGAAACAAAGGTGGACACATCCACAGGGTGGAATTCTATGCATATGTTTTTATGCTCACACACAATTGGGTGAAACGAAAACTGATCTTCAGCGATCAGTGTTAGAGGCGTGTTTAGTGTTCGGTGATCCATCAGTGTTTGCCAGGATTAGGGGAGGGGAAGGACAAACGGCCCAGGGAGCTGGACTGCGGAGGGAGATGTCTGTGGCTTTGCTCGTGGAGGTGGCTTCGCGGGTGTACACAGGTGTCACATGTATGGTTGATCATACTCGAGAAATTGATCCTTGGGCTAGAGTTGTGGCTCAGAGATCGAGCACTCGCCTAGCATACATGAGGCACTGGGTTTGATCCTCAGCACCTCATAAAGTAAAATAAAGACATTGTGCTCACCTATAACTAAAAAATAAATATTTTTTTAAAAGAAATTTATACGTTAAAAAAATATGTTTTTGGTGCTGGGAGTGGAACCCACGGCATTACACATGCTGAGCAGGTGCTCGACCTCTGAGCCGCACCCCCAGCTCTGTGTGGGTCTTTTTTCCAGCCACATCTGGCTGTGGAGGAACAGGCGTGGGATTCAGGATGCCCACAGTGATGACGCTAATTAAGGTCCCCAAGAGGCTCGGCAGTATTGCTGTTGGTACCCTTCGATATTCATGCAGTGGAGCCTGAACCTCTGGATGTGATGATGGCCACCTTACTGACCTTCCCCAAAGCCCTTGAGAAAAACGTTGCAGAAATCCAAACGGAAGATCTTTCTACAAAATACCTGAGCACTGTTCTTCAAAACTGTCAAGGTCAGGATAAACAAGAGAAGATGGAGTACTGCCGCGGCCCAGAGAAGGAGTCACAGTGGGGCAGGAGAGGCAGTGCCGCAGCTGGGTCCAGCAAGGGAGCTAGGGAATTAGTGGGAAAGGACCAAGTCTGGTGTCCAACAGCAGCACTGCCGCAGGGTGGCGGTGCCAGGATCGGCCTGCAGGGGCAGTGTGGAGCTCAGCCCCTGCAGCAGAGGCAATGGCCACTATGGTCTAGCCCACTGTTGCCATGGAGCTTGTGAGCCCGGGGACTTTTAAGTCAAAGGAGATACGATTTTTATGTGAACTGTTCCAATGTTCAAGGTCAGCTGGACTGTAAATCCCAGCCTCTGGACCACATCAAATATGTCTGGAGGCTCCAAGCCGTGCTTACCTTCCAGCAGAGCCACATGAGGACACTCTGGCCAGAGCAGCTGGCCAGCCCCCAGCTGCTTCCTTTCCAGGACCCCTCCAGCAGCCTCCCAGGGTAAGGGACATCTCTGCAGCAGCAGGACCTCCCTGCACCAGCTGTGACCCAGCAGCCCCTAAGCTGCCTCCCTGGGGGTCAGCCTCCTCAAGGCCCAGGCTGAACCTGACCTTCCCCCAGACTCTAGGCCATTCCATCTGGGTCAGCGGCCTCGACTTCCACTCAGCCATTAAAGGTGGAGGCTAGGGGCTGTCCGTGAGCCCTCCCTCTCTCACGCCTGTGATGACTCTAGTTAAGCTCACCAAGTCCCCCTGCTTCCCACCCCACCTTGGGTTCAATCCCAAATGCTAAAGAGACCCCTCGGGCCCTGGGTGAGCAGCGTCCACCCATGCCAGCTTCGTCCTTGCTCGCTGGACTCACAGTGTCATGGCCCCCATCACAGCAGGGTCCTTGCACATGGTGTCCCCTGTGGGGCTGCTCTCCCCTCCATGTTCCGCTCTTCCCCGGCCTCCGGTGTGAGCTGTGAGCCCTCGCCCCTTCCCCTGTGAGGCCACGCCTTCCTGGCCATCGGCCCTCCCGTCTCTGCTGGTGACTCCTGAACCCAGGGTTGCTCTACCTGAGCTACATCCCCCAGCCCATTTTGTTTGTTTGTTTTGAGACAGGGTCTTGCTGAGTGGCTGAGGCTGGCCTCGAGCTTGAGGTCCTTCTGTCTCAGCCTCCCGAGCCACCAGGATTACAGGCACGCGCCACCACGCCCCGTCCCAAGCCTCCGTCTCCTCGAGTTAGCAGTCAGCCTGTGGTGCCCCCCACTCCACCCCAACGTGCAGGCAGGACGCTTGGTCTTGTCCTTCACCACGTCCCAGACTGGCTCGAGGTCTTCTTGGTAACTGCTGGATGAAGAGTGCAGAGGCCAAGCGAACCTGCCATCCCTCCGCCCCCATCTCAAAACCAAGTGTCCTCAAAACCAAGGGTGTGGGTGAATGGTGCCCACACACCTGTGGCCCTCGGCCTGTGTGTGTGCTTGTGTGTCCCCATAGACAAAGGCCAGGGCTGACCTTCACAGACCAGGCCAGGAGAGAGACAGGAAGAGGCTGAGGCTGAGAGGGACCCCCGTAGGGACAGGAACCACCAGGAGCAAGAAGCCTCACTCCGTGCCCCAAACCCTCCTGGGCTCTGCTCAGCAGCACTGACGGGGGCGAACCCATCGCAGGAAGCCCTCAGAGGCCCACCCTCCTGACATCTGCGACACAGGTGTTCTTGTGTTGAAAATAAGAAAAACAAGAGATGTTCCTAAAACCACCGAGCACGCAGGAGCCATATGTGAAAGGATGAGTCACATTTCGACCCAGATTTACACCGTC